CATGGAAAGGGTCATACGAGAACTTTCCCGTGATGATACTTGGGTCAAGATCAAGAGCGCAAGGTCTCTGGAAGTGGTCGGTTCGGTTCTAGCCTTTGTGAACGGCTCAGTCGGCGAAGGTGAGTTCAGCAAGGAAGAGGACCGCAAGAAGTTGGCACCTATCCTGCGGCAGGCGGTGGTACGAAAGCTCATGCTCTGTCTGAGTTCTAAAGACTTTGCTGCATACCGCCGGCACCTGAATCTCCAGGCATTTTACTTCCGAGGCCTGAACATCGAGCCAGTGGCCGACATGATTCCAGGTTTTGAGTGTAACAACGGCAACAGAGACGTCGTGGCTAAGTTTTTGTATCAGAACGGCTTTGCAAAAGTCCGTGAAACTGACCGAACCGGATGGTCCCCTCTGCACTATGCGGCAACAAACGGAGATGCAACTATCATCGACGGCTTGTTGCGGCAGGGTGCCAATCCGAATAAGCGCACGGCCAGGGAACAGCCGAAATGGGGATGTCCACCATGGACATCGCCACTCGACCTTGCCTTGCTTTTCAAGCACAACGACGTAGCACGACGGTTGATTGCAGCGCGTGCCAACTTCGAGGGTGGCTTTACGACACCTCTGAATTTGGCGAGCGTCTCGGACAATGCCGAAGGCATTCGTCTGCTGTGCTCAGCAGGCATCGACCCGCTTATGGAAGATCTTCTTGAGGCCTCTGCATTGCGAGGCGTGGCTACGTATGGAAGCCTGCAAGCCTTAGCAGAACTGTCGTTACACACAAGCCAGGAACCGCTTGTCGTTTCCCGAGCGCTCTTTTTTGCCATGGTCGGTGGAGGCGGCTCAGCTGAGATGGTCGAGAAACTCGTAGAGTTAAGAGCAGATGTGAACCATCAGTACAAAGTCTCGAGCCCTTGGTCGCCGTTTGGTCTGGTTGTGGCGGCGAAGTCGCTGCAGTACAGGCTTGGGCGCAGAACGATTCTCTCTTCTTTGTGTTACCACATTTCTGGCATGACACCACTCATGGCAGCCTTGTCGACAGCGCAGCACGAGGGTGCTGCGGCCTTGATTGCTTCTGGAGCACGCCTTGGCTTGAAGAACGCTCGAAACTGGAGTGCTCGAGACTTTGCCAGAGGTCAGGCGCTTCCGGACTTTCTCCTCAAGGGCTTGGAAGGAGACCCCGGGGAATGTGAGACCGTGGTGTCGCTCGCGCTGGCCGAGGGCTATGTGGAGATCTAGAAGCATTCGTTAGTACGCGTGCATGTTTCACCGAGACGCCCCAGATAAGGGCCATTTTTGGATGTTGAATTTTCAGCCGCGTCACTTCGCCTGTCGCCTGTGATGCGACATACGCGCGTGCCTTGTCGGTTTGCCGTATAAGGACACGGCACTGAACCCTGCGCGCAGTGTGTCCTTCACTGCATCTCTTGTGGATCTGAGCTGCTCTGCAAGCCCCAATCACCGAATCCCGAAGCCGGCTGTATTCCGGAACCAGGCATATCCACAAGGGCTGGTTGTGCTCGAGGACTGGTGCCTTCGAATGAGAGTTTCCGAAAATGAACTGCTTTCATGTATTTGAATGTATGGGCCCTAACATCTGATAGTGTCGGATCCTCGCTATACGGCCCACATGTGGCACACTTGATTTCACGTCAGGTCAAGGTGGTTTCAGTCAGTCTTGGGGCACTTGGCCATACGAACGCTATAATTCTTATGCATTGAAAGCTCGATATCCTGAACCCTAATGCCGTGGAGTTTCTTAAGGACTTCATCCAGTGACGCCCGGCCGGCAAGTCATGCGGCCGTAGCCCTGCCCTTGGCCTAGATCCCCTTCTAGGTCACCTGTCGGGATTGTTGCATCTTTAGGACTGTCTGCTTCACACTCTTGTCGGTTAGGGACGTTGTGTTTGCAGAGTCTTGTGCTGATGCGCAACGGGAACCAACAGCCGCGATTTGGAATTTTGTGGGCCGGAGAGAGCCGCGCGCCAGGTATCAGTGCCTTCCTGACGGGCTCATGCCACCGACGTTTATGGAGAGGAACGGGTACCGAGTCGTGGCCTACCGCATCTCCGACATGCATGGCGTACTTAAGGGATCATGGGACTTAATTAGTAAGTATAAGGTCTTGAGCACGCTAAATGGAGCAATAAGAAGTTGTAAGGTGTAATAACCCCATAGTAGTAATAGTGGCAGTAATAAGAACAATAGCAGTAAGAGGGGTAACAACAAGAATTATAGCTGCCAAGTCTCATGATCTTTTAAGTAAGGATGGACTTATAAGGGCTTAACCCTGTCTTGGCAGTAATGCAGGTGAACTGGGGCCGGTGCCGCATTGCACGCTTTTCGACGAAGAGCTGGAAGAAGTTCTTCTCACAGACTGCAAATACGTCTCACCTTGGGGACCAAATGACCCTTATAAGTAGGGGCCCTATACCCTTATACTATGAATCCCTATATGGTATATGAACCTGAAGCCCTTTTGAGGTTCATGTCGTCCTTAAGGCAAGCTTGTGTGCGCATATTTGGTTAGTTGCCAGAGCTTCGGTTGGTACGTAACTCCAAAAGACTCTAAGACCTGAACTCTACACGCTGAGCCTCGGTCGGCATCTGGGCTTTGAGGTAAGTTCGGCGATGCTGGTCGGCAGTTCAACGGACACCCAGGCCTTGATATGCTTCCTGCATGCTTTCCAGCACCTTCACTGCGTCAGCTTTCGAACACCTGGTAGCACAGAAGTGCCCGTCATTCTTCATTCCACCTTTCTTCGCCATGTTTCTTTGTCCTGCACTTTCCCCGCGCAGGATGGGCAAACTTTGCCATCGAGGATTCTCCCAGGCCCTTGGAGGCCCCTTGCCGATGAGAGCTCACCATTCCTTCTGGCTTCCAGTCTCGCTAGAAAAGCGGTCTGGGGTTTAGGGTTTAGGGTTTGGGGTTTAGGGTTCAGGGTTTAGGGTTCAGGGTTTAGGGTTGCCTGCTGTCGGGCTTAATGTAGGGGCCTTAAGAGTTAGAATAGGGTTTTGGGGGCTCCTTACTTTAATGTAAGTGTAAGATACCCCAAAACCCCCTCAACCCTAAACCCCTAAACCCTAAACCCTATACCCTATATTACCTTAAGCCCAGGCCCTCCCTGTAGCCAGGAAGACCTACCTTTTTCGGGTTCCTTATTATGGTTTCTATATCTAGTTCCTGAAAAAGGTAGGTCTTTTCGGTTACAGGTCAGTCTTAAGCCCTAAAGGGACTCCGGACGTATCTTGGAGCCTCGGGTTGCCTGGTATCGCCCTCCTACTCGAGCTGCCTAGTATTTTTCGGATTGGGATGAAAACTCCATACACACCTATAAGACCCGGGTTTAGGGCTTATAGGGGTTTAGGGTTGAGGCTACTACTTTGACTTTACAAATCCCTAGAAACTTGTCTGGACAACAATGCTGCATCACTTTGTTCGGCACCCCACACTACGGGACCTAAGATGCTTCCCGGTATGTTTCGGGATGCTGCAGAGTTTTGTTCCCGGTAAGTTTCGGGATGCTGCGGAGTTTTGTCCAGCAGTGTCGCTGCGAGACAAGGCTATGTATACTCTCAGGGTACATATATTCCTAAAATGTTCTTCAATGTGGTTTATACTGGGGCCACAACGCCCGAGAACGTACGCTAAACCCGACGGGCACAAGTGCCAGCGCCTAAAGAACACAAACAGACCGAAGTGACAGAAGCATTAATAATTCTGACGTTCTAAACCCTGAAGCCCTAAAGACTGAACAGCCCTGCAGAAGTCGGAGGCCGCAAGATGCTTCCCTATGTGAGTTTGTAGGACCTCCTGACCCCCTCCACCGCAGATTTGGGTTCCACGCTTCGGGCCATCCTCTCCGAAGAGTGCTATTTTTGGCCAGCCGAAGGATTTGGGAGTTTCCGAAAACAAGGGGTACCTTGTTTTGGGATCCTTATAATCGGGATCCTATTATTTAGGGTGCTATATTAGGGTCCCCTATTTTCAGAAACCCCCATTTGGGTTTCGGATGGTTCAGGCTTTAGGGTGCGACGGCTGAGGATGCCTACTGAATTGGGGCTTCAGGGTCTTGAGGAAACAGAGGGAAGAGGAGGTTCAGGATGCAGGGCTGTTTTAGCGACATCTTGGAACGAAAATCTTGGTGTTATGTGTGCCTTTGAGTGCTGAGGTTCATGTGGCAGGCAGAGGTCTGGAGGATTCTGGGGCATTCTCAGGGTTTTGTGATCTTTTGAAGTTTCTTGGGGGGCCACACTCCGCCGAAGCGAATCCAGGAGCTGCCTCGCGAGATCGGACGAGGTGGTACCACGGCGAAACTCTATGCTTACGATGTGGACTTCAAGAACAGGACGGGCAATGAAGCGAGCAGCAATATATGAGGCAATCATGCAACCAGCATCCTTGGGTTGTCGCAGCTGCGGTCACAGTCCGTGAAGACATTTCTGCATGGTATCATACCGTACCGGCGCGAAGCAGTTTGCACCGACTGGAAGTGGAGCAACACGAACAACCTTTGTTCTGTGGGTGAAGTGGGTTGCAGGTCGGACGCTGGTGCCGTAGCACTCCGTGACGCTGTTCAGGCCCACACGTGCTGCAGTATGTCATGGTGCCTCAGACTTTGCCTTAATCTATTGAAAGCCGTGCCTTAAGGACGAAATGAACCTCAAAAGGGCTTCAGGTTCATATACCATATAGGAATATAGGGATTCATAGTATAAGGGTATAGGGCCCCTACTTATAGGAGTCATTTGGTCCCCAAGGATGTTCTGCTTCCCATTCTTCGTTTCCGGTGCTCGCGTCGACACCTCCCGATCAACCCTCTTGCTGGGTCTGTGGTTTTGGCTTCCAGGCACGATCTACCCTTGGGGACCAAATGACCCTTATAAGTAGGGGCCCTATACCCTTATACTATGAATCCCTATATGGTATATGAACCTGAAGCCCTTTTGAGGTTCATGTCGTCCTTAAGGACTGTAGGGCTCAAGCTTAGGGCTAAAGTTTAGTGCCCTGCCCAAGCGCTAAAACCTGTGGAATTCTTACAGCTGCTAGGTCAATGCTGCTAGCTGGTGGGAGCTGCAGCTGTACGATGCTTGGCCTAAACTCTGAGAGAGGTAATAAGTAATATATCATAGTGAAATACCTCTCTGAGATCTTTCACTATTACTACAGAATCTTTGTAGTTCCTATACCGCTTGATGTCTGTGTTTTTTGAAACTTGGCTTATCTCTTCCTTGGGGACCAAATGACCCTTATAAGTAGGGCCCTATACCCTTATACTATGAATCCCTATATGGTATATGAACCTGAAGCCCTTTTGAGGTTCATTTCGTCCTTAAAGTATCTCTTGCTCACCAGGAGACGATGTGCCGCCTAAACCGAGCCAGGTCTCCTTACATCTCGTTTTGTGTAATGTCGCCTTGCATTCTGCAGCATCTTGCCTTTAGGGCTTAGATGGGCTTAGGGTTTAGGGTTTAGCGGTTTAGAGGTTTAATAGGTTTAGGGTCCAGGGTTTAGGGTCATAAAAAAGCAGCAAGTACATAAGTAAGGAAGTACAAGTACATGTATATGTACAGGCAGA